CTCCTTCCTTCCTTCCTTCCTTCCTTCCTTCCTTCCTTCCTTCCTTCCTTCCTTTACTTTTTTGGTGCAGGGGATTGAACCCAGGGTCTCTTGCAGGCTATGTAAATGCTATGCCACTGAGCCAAACTCCCAGCCTGGAATTTCTTTATAAAAATTCCATTGAGCATTTTAAGTCATGCTGGATGCATAGCAGGTTCTAAACACACACTTTGGAATAATGCAATAGAGAATCTTGATTCAGTAAGAGACATAAAACCATCTTGAGGAGGGAGAGGAAGTTACTGAACAAATTTATTCCTTATTGTAGTAACTCATCAATGCTTAAATTTAGGTTATATATATTTTTACAGAATACACTAAGGTTCTCCTTACTATGGATAATTACCTTGTCCAAGGACTTGCAAGTCTGGACTTCAAAGACAACTTTCCTTTATTCTCCAGTTGATTGCACTTTTTGTTAAGCCAAACTTCTTGATCCCTTGTTCTGTCTTGCTATCCTGAGACTAGTCAAGCTTCCAGAAAGCAGCAGCATTTCACCAAGCTGATATTTCACAATGTAGCTATGGTATTTTTGAACAATTCTCTAGAGGAGACTGCATGAAACCCTGGAAGCCTCAGGAAATTGGAAGAAGGAAAGGAGGCTGTCTGTCCTTCAGACCTCTGAATCCAGCCTTGCTCATTTTTATACTGAAGCCAGGTTCAGGCCCAATAACATTGCTGCCTTGAATAGATCATCTGTAGCATTTTCCAAATTTCTATTCTGACACCTGACTTACTAATTCATAAGAAATCAAATTTATTTTAAGATTATCCTGTCTATGGTTCAAATGCAAGTATGCTTTTTAATATCAACTGTTAGTCCTTAAAGAAGCTTGAGTGGATAATGAACTTTTATAAGTAGAGAAAACAAGGCCCAGAGAGATGAAATAAACTAGCTCAAGATGACACAGAATCCAAGCACTGGAGTCACAGCAGGATCTATGGCTCAGGTCTCCTGATCCCTCAGCCGGACTTTGTACCCTCTACCTCTACTTTCAACTGGATTTTTGTGGTGATCAGCAAAGTTGGGAGTTAGGTAGAATGTGGCTTAGTGACCTCCCTCTTCCTCTCCAAGGTGTCCAGAGCCAGGTTGAGGGCAGGATCTCTGGAGAGCCTCTCTTTTCTGGCTTGTTCTCTTTTGCCTCTGCTATGGGGCAGTCTTCCAGAGTGGCCCTCCCTAAGGAGTTGCCTCCCTAGCATTCCTGGTCCTTATCATTCTGTGCTAGGTCCTTCATATCATGGGTCAACAGTGGTCTTTTTATCAAGGACCACTTTATTAAGATTGGGCTCTGAGGCAGAAAAATAGATGAACTCCAAAACAGAGTGTAGACCAGAGATCATGTTGAGCAAAATAAGCCAGACCTAGAAAAATTCTGCTTGCTCCCCCTGAAACGTGAAATCTCAAACAGATGACTGGGAAGGACAAGGGAGACTGTCATTAGACAAAAGGAAGGGAATAAGGGGAGGTGAGAGCTGTGCAAAGGTAAGTAATAGGGAGAATGAGTACAGTCAGAGGACAGCATACATATTGAGCTCCCCCAGGCAACTAGCAGGGGAAGGCAGGCCAAAAGTGGGGGCAAAAATGATCACAGCACGTTATGTACACAATAAATCTACCAAGGTAAAACCCGTTAATCTGTATAACCAATATTCACTAATAAAATATTAAAATATATTTTAATATATAAAATATTTTCTCTGCAATAAAGGGCAGAGAAAGCCTGTTTTTGCTCTCATCTCTTTCTCTTCTCAAATATTTCCTATACCCTGGTAAGTCTAGTCTTCTGCAGGTAATGGCTATTTTTGCTATCTAAGAGGAATGACTGACAATTGCGTCAAAGTAGGTTGTGACAAAGAAGATATTTTGGGGGCAATAGAAGTCTTTGAATTAAAATTTAAAAATTCAATAGGTGTAATGCCTTGCTTAATATTCTCATCTTAGTATAATAACATCTTAATGTAGCTATCTTAATTTAATTTTTTTATTAGCATAGGTTTGCAGTATATAATGATTATATTCATTGTTGGCAGTTGGTACATGGACATAACACATCTTAATATTAATAGCTTTTCTCATTCTCCTTCTTCCCTACATCTCTTGATTCTTTTTCTATTCCTTTTTGAAAATTTATTTATTTATTTATTTGGTACAGGGTCTTGCTATGCAGCTCAGACTCATAGCGATCCTCCTGTCTCAGCCTCTCCAGTGCTGGGATTACAGGTGTGTGCCACTATGTCTCGTTTTGGTGGCCAGCATGGCATGCAGTACTGGGGATGGAACCTGGGTCCTTGCACTTGCCAGGCTGGTGTTTAGACTGCCAAGCTATCTCCCCAACTCTCACCTTTTTTTTTTCCCCAAAAGATCTGTCTCCCTGTTTTATATTGACTAACTTTTATTTTGGTCTTTAATTTATCTTTGGGTTTATCATATAAGAAAAACCATGTGATATTTAGGCTTATGTGTCTGATCTATTAAAATACTATAGTGTCATTGTGCACCTATTTTACTACAAATGTGAATTAATCTTATAATTTAGAATTATTTTTTCTTAAAGCATTCACTTAAAGCTTTGGTTCCAAAAAACCCTATTCTAATTGTGTAATAATTTACATCTGTTTTCATGCTTGTGGATTTGTTTCGCCTTCAGCATTCCCTTCAGTGGTGCTCTGAGTGCATCCTCGCATGTCCAGTATGCTCCAGGAGAGACAACTGAACAGCTGCTGGAGTTCAATACTATGGACATGGGGGCCGGGGAGATGGCTCAGTGGAATAAGAGCTTCCCTGGCAAGCGCAAGGGTCTGAGTTCAATCCCTGGTTCCGCCAAAAAAAAAAAAAAAATACTTTGGATATGCCATGTTGGATTGAAAGGAAATCACTTTCAGCTATGGCTCATTCATTGCCAAATAACTATGTGATGTCCCTTCATTCTGAATCACAAGCGACTTCAAATTTTAAAAATTAGTTTAAAAATGTTGACTAGTTTTTCATATAGAGGAAAAGCATATTTAAAAAAGAAACAAAATCACATAGATTAGTAAGAGAAACAGTCTTCAATTTACAACGGTTTGACTTAAGGATTTCTCCAATTTATGTTTGTGTAAAAGTGATACGCGTTGCAATAGTGGAAACAGAACTTTAAATTTTGATAATCCACAGTACAATGCTTTTACACCACAGTGGGCTGTGGCAAGCTGCAGCTCCTATTGAGCCACATGCTTACACTCAATATTCTATGATGCCCTGTGCTGCTGAGCCATGCATTTGGGGGGTTCAGTATATTAATTTTTTTTTTTTTGTGGAACTGGGTATTGAACTTAAGTCCTTGTGCTTGCCAGGGAAGTGCTTATTCCACTGAACCATCTCCCCAGCCCCTTAAATGTATTTTTTTTTTTTTTTTTTGTGGAACCGGAGATTGAACTCAGGCCCTTGTGCTTGCCAAGGAAGCGCTTATTCCATGGAGCCATCTCCCTGGCCCCTTAAATGTATTTTTGACTTGTGATATTTTCAACATACAATGGGTTTATTAAGATTAACCCTATTCTAAGTCAAGGATGATCTGTATTTGGAGAGAAAGGATAAAATGTTAACTGTGGGGATTTTTGTTGAGTGGGATTATAATTTCTCTTTTAATGCTCTATATAATTTCCAACATTTCTACTATGAGGATAAATTTCCATAGACACCATAAAAAAAAAGAAAGTTGAAGAACAAAAATGAAGGCCAGGTTTATTTTAAGTTCAATGTGAAAAAGTTCACCTGCATAGAGAAGAAAAATGTGCAGACTGAGTATTTGCCGTGAAATGAAGACTTCTGTTTTTTCCTCAAAGATATGAATATACATTTTAAATTAACCTCCCATCAGCATTTTTCTATTTCTATGAAGCCATGGAGAAAAAGCTTGGAAAGTGAGGCTGTGTCCAGCTGCAACAGAAATTTGGTTTAGGTCAAGGGCGTAGTACACACACTGCATGCATTTCAGGAAAATGGGAGAGGGTGATTAATACAAAAAGAAACCTAAAATATTGTAAAAACTTACCAAATGGTTTCTGATGCTCTCAGTACCTCTCAAAGTACCTGGATTGTCAGCCTTACAGCTTCAATATCTTCCAGCTATTGAAGTTTGAAGCTGGATAAGCAAAATGATAAGATTTACTTTTATTTTTGCATAAGGAAGATGAGAATCCTGGAAATTCCTTTGGCCCTGTTCAGGTTTGGTGATAAGTCGCAGAACATGTATTCAGCAATACTTTCTGAGGAGGGGTACTATTGAAGATTTTTACAAAAATCACATCTTTATGCTTATTATATATATATTTTCAATATGTCAAAACGTGTAGCTCTGCAGCAAGATATTTTAGGGCCTAGGCTTTCAGTTAGCTGATCAAGTACCGAAGAGGAATCTCAGAGAAGAAGGCAGCATAAGAATATCATTTGCACTTTTCAAACTGTAGTGATGAGTAGAAGGGGTATATGCCCTAGTTCATCGCTTCTGCAGGCTGTGAAGCAAAGCTCGACCTGCAGCGTGGCCAAAGCTTCTTGTTTCCTTTGCAGCACACTCTTTAGGTGCAGGCTTCGTGTTGTTAGTTGCCAATGGAATATTACAGTTTCAAGTACGAGGGAGAACTGTAGACAAGAAAGCAA